GACCCCCAACCATAAAATTATTTTCGTTGCTACTCTATAACTGTAATTTTGCTACTGTTATGAATCGTCATGTAAATATCTTTTTGTTTTCCAATGGTCTTAGACGACCCCTGTGAAAGGGTCGTTCGACCCCCAAAGGGGTCGAAACCCACAGGTTGAGAACCGCTGTTTTAGGGGATGATCTTCACTTTGAAATAGAGGAGTGGTCAAGATTTGAGGATTGTGTGAATATCTATGTTTTTAAACTACTACTTGCCATCAGTAACCCTTCATTGATTGATGACATGTTTGTCTCTGTGAAAGAACATTACATTATCTATTATAGAGGGATATTGGATCACTTGTCATTATCCTCTTCCTTGATTTTCTTTCCATTGTGAGAGAGAGGCTTTTGCATACTCTTTTGTTAAGGACAAAAAGGACAGAAAGAGAGGAATCATAGGATATTATTAGAAGAGTTCTTAATTTGACAACTGAGGAAACAAGTATAGAGAGACGAAACAGCTACATGAGTGAAAGGTAACAATGCTTAGTATTTTCTTTCTTTTTTGAGGATTAAAAACTTTTGGTTTGGGGTTGGACGAATTAGATACTTAGGATTTAAGTCTCCACAAAATAACTCTGTAGTATCATCATCTCGTGTTTCACCTTACCTGTTAATCAGTATTCAGGTAAATGGCTATAAAATTAAATGTTAATTCTATAGAAGACAGTGACCCAACATTTCCAGAGTTATTTTATATAATGTTATATTTTTCTTTAATTTAAAAATATGTCCATGTGAACCACGGTTGTGGTATTCCCGTTATGGTTTCAGGTGGGTTTTAGGTGACTTTCTCAGGTGTTTTCTTCCTTTGAAGGCAGTTTTTGTTTTTGTTTTTTAAATTTTTAAAAAATAATGCAGCATAGTCTACATTTCATTTCTTTTCTAAAGGATCAGAAATTTAATGCCAAGAGACCATAAATAAGTAAAATTATTTTATTTGAAATCTTTAAGTCATCCACACATTTTTCATAAAGCTTTTTATAAACATCATTAACCACTATGGCGCTTACAAGAGGAATTAACAGTAACAAGTTATTTGATTTAAAGCACAATCTGAATAATATAAAGAAGTTGAAATTAGTTGACATGTGACTGATTCATAAATGAAAACGTTGGCTGTCTTGTAGTAATCAATGCATAGCTACAGCTGGTTGAAGGGGACCAAATCCATTGAAGAGGCGATTTGGTTCCATTTTACCAGCTCTAGCAAAGCATTGTAGTGCTGCTAGTTTGGGCTTCAAAACAGTTAAAATGCTTTTTTATTTGTAAAGTTATCGTTATGGGCCTTCTACAAAATGTTAGTGATTCTCGTATCAGTACTTTGGTCATCGAATGTAAAATTCTCTATTTGAAGGTACTTTTCCTACTGTTTCCTGCTCTAAAAGTGCCAATCTTTTCCCTTTAACATGTTAATAATGCATTAAGGAATTACCAATGTACATCTTTGTTTTCAGCAACTTTACTTAATTCTTAAATGTAGACCATAACCTGTTTCAAAACCAACAACATTTAAAGGAACAAATAGAAATTAATTCATTTTGGAGTACTGTTTTCTGTTTATCTCTAAGCAGTAAACCAAGTAAGTAATAAGCTAACAGGGAAGAGCACTGCTAGTCACACCTTTCTACTGCCACTGTTTTTTTAGTATTATACTTAGGCCTATGAAAGTACCTCTGCCCTTTGGTTTATAAATAGATCGCACGTGTATTCAGTGTAATGCTTGGACTTGTGTTGAAAGGAACTACCATGCATGCCAGCTTATTTTTCTTTGTATTTGCTTATTCAGTGTTACTAATGATAGGTTAGTAGTTTAACCCTTTTAAGGGTCTGTTTTCTTGAGTGAATTCTCTTTACAGATTGCCGAGTTATTTCTCATTATCAGCTTAATAATATACTGATTTGTGGTTAGCTATAGTCTATGAATTTGAATATTAAAATCTACCATTAAAACTCAGTACAGAAAATTTTTGTTATAATGTGATTTCAGTGTGGCATTTCAATATTGGGAAGGGATGTTTTCTGAAATATACTCATTTAAGATAAAAGTTTGAGAAATTACAGTTTGCCTGTAAGGTAAGTGATCTCAGTGAAATATAAGGAGTAAAGAAATAATGACTATTTTTAATTAAACCAGGAGAAGGGAGAGAAGGTCAATACTAATTCAGGCAATATTCATATAATTTTCATATTAAGTATATTCTGCATCTGTTGGTTAGTAAGTATCATGCTGCTGGTGAAATTAATGTAACTATAATTTTTTCCATCATTTATTCTAATGGAAGTGAAACAGGTGTTAACTTGCCTGGACTTAAGTGCTGAAGATAGCAGTAAAACTGGCTTCTATTTTTACTAGTTATATGGGAGTTGTTTAGCAGATCCAGTTGCTCAAGTGTGCTATTGGATGGCAGTTCAGTTTCATATACTGGCCATATCGGGGCAAGGAGAGGCCATGGAAAAAAAATAGTACAGCATTTGATAATGTCAGCATCTGTTATCCCTGTCAGAGAGACAGTTGAAATGTTTGAGTTACACCAGCGTCAGCAGATGCCCAGAGTTTAATATGTACTCAGTTAAAAATGAACAGCTGACCTAAGTGATAGATGTGACATTTTAGAGTGATTGAAAATACTCTTAGATATGTTAAGTTAAACTTGTAAGCACTAGAATCAGTGTATAATTTTACTTTATAAAATGAATAACATGCTGTTATTTTATTTCCTAAGGATTATATACTCTTAATATTATAACCACGAGATTCTTAGTAGCTAGGATGTTTTAAATTAATTGTTAAAAACTTTCATGTCTGCAGAATAACAAATATAGTTGTTCATTATAAAACATGGGTATAGTAATACCCTTTGAATAGTTTTATGAAGGAACTTTACTTTTGAGGTACATATTTTCAGTTTTTGATATTTAGGGCATGCACAGTTAAACTTGAATATGAAGTCTTGCCATTCTGTTTGTGGAAGATCAAAAAGAAGGGCTCTGCTTAAGTATTAAGCTTTGAGCTAATTTTTTTCTTTGAAAATACAGCATTTTAAAATCATATTTTTATAATTTTTAATAAACATACAATAACTTACGTGCTATCATATCTAATAGAGTCATTCTCAGTTTTTATAACCTGATAAAATGAAAATCATCTTTTGATAATTAACTATCTCGTCTTAACAGAAAATTAATTATAGTTGCTAATCTTATAGCCATTTCTATTCAACTTGTGACACAAAAATTTTTAAATATTATTATACTTTTTACATGTCTTGAAATAATACTTTTGAATAATACAAGTTGAAATAATACTTTTAGTAAGAAATGCTTAGAATATTAATATTTCTTTTTTTCTAAGTCTATCATAGTAGCTAAAATAGGTACTGCTTATAAATTATTAAAAGCTAATTATTTATAATTGTATAAAATGCAAAAGGTATTTTGATATCTCTAATATACTGTAAATAGTATGTTTATCATGTTTATAAAAATTGAGTTGTAATTGCATAGTACCATTAAAAGAAGGTTGTTCTATCAGTGTAAATTGGTTTCTTGACAATAGTGTTTTCATTTTGTGTGTCCCCTTTGGATAAAGCAAATTCAAGGATAATATAGATAATAAATTAATTTCTTTTAAATATTTGCCTGTCTGTTACCAATGTGCTCTGTTGACTTATAGCTGTGGCCCAGAATTTTGTCATTTTTCGTGCCTAAATCTTATGTTTTAATTTATTCTAAGTACAAACTTAGCATAAGGACCTGATAAACTTGAGGACAAGGACCACTTTTCTTTGAGAGCAGAATTTTACTTAAAAGGTAGTCTGTTAAAATTATGACTATGTCTATAGCTTTCAGAAAAGAAAACCTAAAACAACAAAACTTGCTTCAGAAATTCCTCTAATATTAAACTATAGATTTATCAAACTAGGAAGAATAGCTGTTAAAATGTAAATGAAATCAGCTTTTGTTATAACTTGTTTTTCTTAACAAATCAGTCACCCCTACTAATGAGATATATTTAAATTAAGATCAAATTGTGGAGACAGAAAGTAGGTCGTGTATCTCTTATTCTTTTGTGCTAGTAGTACTGTTTTTTGGTATTCAAATTTTAATCATTTGAGTACTTAATTTAAAAATGTAAAATTTAGTATGTTTTAAATGTAAAAGATTTAAAAGGAGTTTCATGATAATTTAAAATCTACGTCAGTAGAGCTTTTTTCTTCACAAAATATAAATCTTAGTGACATTTAGTTTTCATCTATAAGAAGTAGGTACATTTTTATGATGTTATTTCCAAAAGTCACCTCTCTGATTCTAGGTTAATTTACCATATGAAGGTCATTCACATAGAAAGAAGCAAGGGCTTCTTTTAGCTGCAGTTTAGTTCCCTCTTGGTGGTTTATTACCTACCAAAAATACATACTTCTTTACATTCCATAGCATTGTATGTTCATATGGGTACATAAAGAAGTATGTACTCTGAGTAGGTATTACTAAGCTCTTAGCTGTAAAAACATGAAATGCTTTATTTTCTCATTTGTTAGTAAAATGTTTAGCTTACTGATATAGAACAATGGTAGATCATTTGCAGAGACTATCAGAGACTAACCTTTATAAAAAATTTACCTGAAGCATTGCATTAGTGCCATTTACGGTTCCTTGTTGGTGGACTTACACTTCTAAATACTGACCATTTATGTGTTGAACTTTGTCCTGGTTTGGTTCCTTTTGCCAGAGATTCATAGAATCAGTGGAATTTTAGAGTGTATTTCAGAAATTGGTAAGATCAGCCTAGTGTTTCTTCATAGTCTTCAGAGCAAATTTCTTCTTACTTTGTAGTTTGCTTCTAGATCCTGCAAGTAGATAGTAGTTAAATTTGGTATAGATTCTTTTTACAAACTAGGTATCTTCCTAAAAACTTAATCAGTTACTCAATTAGTACTTCTTCTGATATTGACTCCAAAGATAAAAAAAAACAAGTAGGAAAACCATGTCTTTTTAGAGTGTGCGTGACTGAATTTTTAAAGATGATGAGTTTTTTGTTATTTTTTTTTAAAGGTCACAGATAAGGATTTATGATCATTTGAAAACTTGTTGTTTCTTTGTCTTCCTTAATTAATTACCTGAATTTTGCACTTTGGTGCTTCTTTTTGGGTTAAATACAAATCCCAGTCGATGTGTAAATACTTATTGGGTCGTCGGGAAAGCCATGACATATTTTTCTATGTTTTTCAATGCAAAAATGCATCATGACTTTCCTGATGACCCAATAACTTTGATGTTTTGTTTTTTTGATCCTTTAATTTTTTTTTTTAATATAAAGGATAACTACCAGAGCAGAGAACGTGTCCAAAGTCTTACTTAAAAGAACTGAAAGGTGTTAGAATTTGGGTTTTAGCTTGATCATTAAATGTGAAAAGAAATTATAGTTGGTGAGTTGCCTTTAATTTTTGAGGTAGTAAACGGTTAATTTAAAAGAAAACTGTAAGAAATTTTCAGATTTGGGAAAGGACAAAAAAAAGGCAGGGAAAGTAGAATATCTGCAGCTTGTGAGAAAAAGCTAGTGCAGCTCAGAGAGAACAAATCAGAATGTAGCAGGAGATGGCCCAGTACTATAGCAGTTTCAGCAATGCAGCATTATAATTTCACCTTGCACATTCTAATTTATATTTGTGGCCAACTAAGAGTAAGTATTAAAAAGTATTTTGTGTTCTGCCAAGTTTTTTGGTTGATTAAACCTTGAAATAGTTAACAGTTTTTAAAAGGTAGCATACTTTGGAAGCAGGGTGTGATTTGCTAAGGATGCAAAATCGTTATTTAATCTGAAACAACAAAGACTAAATCTTTAATCATGTAAATGACAGTGATGGATTTGTATATTTTTGAGATCAAGAGTTAATCTACCACGATATTTGAACAACATTCCTTTTTACACTACATAAGCTCTCTACTCGAACTGTGAAATTAGGCTATGTCCAGATAGAATTTAATTTAACAATAAAAACATATATTGAGTCAATAATAGGTAAGCATGCATAAAGCCATAAGCATCCTTAAAAGTACAGGCCTTGTGGTACTCTGTTACCTGTAAGTCTAGTGTCATTCAGCATTTGCAGCAGGAAGAGAGATAATGACCTAGAGAGTCACTTTAGCAGCAGCCATCTCATCTTGATTGTTCCTTCACTCTATCCACTGATTCAGCACTTCTTCTCATGAGCCAGTGAAGTAAGAGGGAAATACAGTGAACACAGAACTTCACCTTTTAAGATAAATTTGAAAAACAAATGAACAAACAAAAATAAATCAGCCATCTTTTCTCTCTCCCTTTTCATACCCTTAAAAAAAAAATACAGTAAAATTGAAGCAGCGTTGGCCATTTGATTTGGAATGTCATATCACCAGTATTGCACAGATATGAGTACCTTGTATCTGCTGTAAAGAAAGTTAAGTAACCAAGGAAGGTTGCTACAACGTCCCAGAAAATGAACCTTGCTTATTTCTCAGATGAAATGCTTCAGAAGAGGGGGAAAAAAGTTGCAGAGCAAGTTAATTTTATAATCTAAAAGAGACAAAAAGCCAAAAAACAAAACACTCCTCACTCCCTCCCAAGTAACTGTAAAAATTCACACTATTTTCCTTTGCCCACCAGAATACATTGGGTCTTCTGACTTCTCAGGAAATAGTCTGCGTCTTTCTTGCTGTGAGATTATTTTGGTTTTTAGTTTCCAGGATTAAATGGTAGATCTGTATTGAAGCTACCTTGTCATATCCAGAGGTGAAGTCTGCAAGCAAGGTCAGGACTTCCACATGGTCACTACAGAGGTTAACTTAAATTCTTCCCTCAGTGGCCACAGGCTAAACTGTTACAGCTTTATAGGCAGCTAAGCATTTGAAACATGCACTCCCAGGCAAACAGGCTCTCTTGTGCCTCTCTCTTCCCTGACCATATTTAGTCAACCATAGCAAAAAATAGTCTCTCAGCTGTCGATTGTCGATCCAAAAGCTGAGGAAGCCTCTATCTTGCTTTCTGCCTATTGATTGTTCATCCTGCAGTCCAAACACTGCTTTGCCATTTGTCCTGCCTTTTTTTTTTTTTTTTTTTAAAACACTGCCAAATAAAGCGGTCTCTCATGTTTCCACTTACATTTCCCAGATTTTCACTGAGCTTGCGCTGAGACTAGGAAAGCCTGATGCGGCTGTCACTATACTTAGAAGCACTGCAGAGAAAAAAGGAAAGACGAAAAATATTATCCTGGCTATAAGCAAGACAGTCTTTAGACATATGGAATAAGAGGAATATCTCTGCTGCCAAATTATATTTCATAACCCAAATTTTTTGTTGGTAAAATATATTATGGATAATATTTTACATAGCTAAAGTCCTGAAGGGATTTTATAGTGTTATCTTTAGAGCGAGTTGTTACTATACATGCTTTTTAAATGTAATGAATAATATTTGAATGGAAAATACATAGAATGGTAATTAGAACATGTATATTGAAGGTGGTGAGAGATCATTAAGGAAGAAGAGAGTAGTGTATATAAATGAAATCCTGTTTGAAATGCTACTTAAAACTTTTAATTCATTGTCAATTTTAGTTAATTTTTTTGCAGCGTTTATGTGAAAAATGGCCTGGAATGCTTTTGAGTAATTGTGGACTTTTATATTGAAGCTCAATATACATATATAACTATTAAAATGCATTTTATTATTAAATTCTATTTCATTTTCAGATGTTAAGTGGTTTTTTTTCTCCCTTCTACATCACCATTTCTCATTAATTTTTTGAAGTAGCATTTAGGCATGATCCTTTCACACTTCATCACAGACTAAAATAGCCATTAACCTATTGGTTAATATAACTTTGGCACATAGTGTATGTCTCAAAGGAAAAATGCTCTTGTTCTAAATTTTAATAGCATACGCACAGTAAATTTTAACATTGAAATTTATTTTTTTAACGAAGGAGAAAAAAATGTAACGTCAAATCCAGGAAACCTGTGGAGATAAAATTTAAGATCTTACAAACCTAAAAATGTCCAAGAGAAACCACTATACCTTGTTCTTAATTCAAATATATTCTCTTAAGTATTGATTCAGTTAAGAATCAAGAAAAACCATTATCAGTTTTGTAAGCTCATTCTACAGGGGAAGCTTGTCCTGGACACACATGTTTTTGTCTAGCTTTTACTACCAGAGCAGTTTAATTATTTTTGATGGCTGTTTTAAAACAGTGATATAAAGAATGCTTCTGTAGATATTTGGCAATTTAACCATTTTGTAGCAGTAAAAGGTTTTTTTCCCCTCTTTTTTTCTCAGCAAACACTTATATAATGTACTAAATGTCAGGTACTCTTCTAAACTCCTATTACTTTTCATAACAACCCTATGAGATAGGATTTGTGTTTCTTCTCACATTTTATAGATGAAGAAACTGAGGCATAAAACCTGCTCAAATCACCAGCCATTCAGTTTGCTAGTGCCAGAATGTGCTCTTCACCACTATGCCATGCTGCTGCTTTGCTTTGTAATCATGAAATCAGGGAAATACCAGTCTTTGGGACTGGAGCATACACCAAAAATATAGTATGCTGCTAATATCCTTGCCTCAGTGTATTCAGAAAGATGATTGATTATCCATTTGATTGTTTCTTCATTCGTTCTATTCAATAAAATTTTGAGCTCCTCATGCTAGGCATACAAAGGGGATAAGATAAGTAAAATAGGTTCCCTGCTTACCACATAGAATGAGAAATAAGGACTGACTGGTCATTCAAGTGATAATTTTAGTTGTCTTTAGTTTAAGAATGGTTGAGTACTCAACCTATACAACTCATCTGCAGCTTGTATTGTCATTGCTTATCTCTCTTTCTCATTTTGAACTAAATTCTACTACATTACCAAATTCCTAGTTAATTAAATTAAGCTAAATTAATGAACCTTTTAATTATAGTATATGTCAAAAAAGAGTCTGTGAGAAAAAATTAAATCACCCCAAAACAGAATTAGAAAACATTTAAGTAATGCCTATTCAATTGTAGTTCTTAAAAAACATTCATATTCATTTATTAAAGTGATTACCATGGATGGCATTTTGGTATACGAGTATAACCCTCCTAGACTTCTTGTCTGCATCCATTGAGATAGGGGTGTTAACAAAAAATATGTCCAGACTTTTACATGCTAACCAACTTTTAGCATGCCCCAAAGGACTTCTGCTTGGGATTGATCAACTTTCTTAATAGGCTCCTTTGTGGATTTTGGACTAACATGCTTTAACTATTATTTGAGGCATTATTCATTAACTTAGCAAGAATTTATTGAACACCTACCGTATTTCCCCATATATAAGACGCTCCCATGTATAAGACACACCTTAATATGAGGGCCCGAAATTTGAAAAAAATCTATTACATAAAGTTATTGAACTCAAGTTTTATTCATCATAAAATTCATTCAACTCATCACTGTCAAATGCAAGTAAAAAAACAAAACAAAACTACAACCACTGTATAAGACGCACCCAGTTTTTAGACCCCAAATTTTTTGAAAAAGGGTGTGCCTTATACATGGGGAAATACGGTAATATGTGCTACAGTGCTATTCTAATGTCTTTTTACATTAAGTAATACTAATCTATAAGGTCTCCACAGTTTAGCTACTATGATTTGCTTGGGGAAATGTTGCTTATCTCTGAAGATAGATTGCAGAGCATGGTAGACCCTAAAAATGGACCCAGTGGCATTTGACTATTACATACCAGTGCAGACAGCTGCTTGTCCCCTCTACTTCTTAGAACTTATTTGTTCATCATTCAGCAAACGTTTGAGTATTACCATGTGCCAGGGATTATGCTAGGCTCCACTATTAGTTGTTCCGGAACTTAATGCTTCTTTGGCAGTATTCACAAATGCCTGCTTAACTGGCAGTAAGATCTTATCTTTAAACCATCCATGTCCCTAACCTCTTGGAAAACAACCAGATGGAGAAATAAAGAAGAGTGTTTGAACATTAGGGAAAATATCTCAATATCTCATGTACTATACTCCACAGGTGAGAGTGTATTGGCTTAATAAAACTATTGACTTATTGAACTGGTACCACTCTTATCCCAACAACTCTGTGGGCCTCAATGCTTGCAGCATAACACCAGTCTTCTCTTAATTAACTAAAGTGCTGCAGGGAACAGCCTGCAACTGGATCTTCATGATTATATTGTGATATAATATATGATATTCTACCCCATGGAAAGAAAGGAGACAAGCTGCTCAGAGCTGCTTTCGATGTGAGGGTGTTGGGGACCAGGGACTGTTCTGTTTAACTTCCCTTTAGCTCACCTTACAGGCTGGGCCCAAAGATGGGCTTTTTTGTTGAAGCCTTGTATTAATTTGTTTTTGTTTGTTTGGTTTTTGCAAGGATGGGTGAGATGAGGGTCAGGAATTAACATTAGTTAGTGACTTTCTAACTAAGATAAGAGGGTTATTGGTTTTTGTTAAAGTTAATGTATCCCAAATCTCCAGTGTAGAAGAATTCCAAATAATTTATGTAGATATTCCACCTTCAAGGAAATGGAGCATAACTTTCTACTCCTTAAGTGTAGATTGCATGTAGTGACTTCCTTCCAAAGAGTGTATGTATAGTATAGTATTCTGTAGTATAGAAGGGGGGGGGGGGAGAGTAACTTTACAGTGGAGAAACTTGACAAATGCTAGATCAAGGTGAACATCGACAGTGATAAGTCACGTTGATATTATGCACCCTTGATATTGATGTGATGTGATGAAATGATACCTTTGTGACCTTCCTCCAAAAATTTAAAACCCCAGTGTAAGTCATGGGGAAAACCTTAGAGAAATTTCATCTGAAGGACATGCTACAAAATACCTGATTAATACTCTGAACACTGTCAAAGTCATCAAAAAACAAGGAAAGTATAAGAAACTGTCACAGCCAAAGGGAATCTAAGGAGACATGACAACTACATGTAGTGTGGTATTCTGGAGCAGAAAAAGAACAGTAAAAACTAAGGAAAGGAAATCTAAATGCAGTATGGACTTCAGTTAATAATAGTCAATATTGGTTCATTAATTATAGCAAATGTACCATAGCTAATGTAAAATGTTAACAATGAGGCCATCTCTGTAGTACTGTCTTAACAATTTTCTGTCACTACAATGGTTCTAAAATAAAAAGTTTATTTAAAAACAGCAACAACAAGAATTAATGTGCCCACTCCTGGCTAGTTGACAGATGGCTTTTGCATTAATTTTTCTTTTTTTTTTAAAGATTTTATTGGGGAATTGGGGAAGGGGAACAGACAAGTTGCTGTCCTTTTGTTCTTCAGTCTAGTTGTGGAGGACATCACTTCACTGGCCCATGTGGGTATTGTGATCATTGCGCTCTTCCCGGCTGAGGCAGTCAGTCACCAGCCATTGGACGGCTGCTCAAGTCGGCTGCTGCCCGCTCACACTGGCTGCCGGCCACCCACGATAGCTTACGGCAGCCCACTGCAGCCTATGCCGTCACTGGCGACTCATGGCAGCCCAGCTCCAGGTCGAGCTGTTGTTCACCATCTTAGCTGTAGAGGGCACAGTGTCACTGGCCCATGTGGGATCCGAACCGGTGGCCCTGCTGCTCAGAGCTCACACTCCCAAGCCAACTCTTAACCAACAAGCCACCTGGCCGGCCCTTTTGCATTAATTTTGATTTGAAGTTACCTGCAGTGTTTCTGCACAACTTATACCAGTTAATCAGGAGTTGATTTTGCTATAATTGAGTTATCAAGAAAATTTTAAACTTAGTCTCATATTCTTTTAAAAGTATATTAAGGCAAGAAAGTATATTTTAGAAAAATTTTTATCAAGACCAGTCTTAAAAAGATTTAGTTATTTTAAAGGAAATCTTTTTTATTTGAATGCTGGTAATTTTGAATTTGTGAAAATTGTGAAATGGCCAGATTTGTGTGGAAGTGGTATAGAGGATAGATTTCAGAAGGGGGCTGTTATAAATGTTTTGAGGAAAAGTAGTGAAAGCCTATCTACATAATACTGGGGTCTGTGGGAAATA